GTGTGTGTGTCTGTCTGTGTGTGTGTGTGCGCGTGTGTGCGCGAGAGAGAGAGAGCGTGTGAGAGAGAAAGTGTGTGTGTGTGTCTGTCTGTGTGTGTGTGTGCGCGTGTGTGCGCGAGAGAGAGAGAGTGTGTGTGTGAGAGAGAAAGTGTGTGTGTCTGTCTGTGTGTGTGTGTGCGCGTGTGTGTGTGTGCGCGCGTGTGAGTGTGTGCATGTTTGCGAGTGTGTGTGTGAGAGAGAGACGAGTGTGTGTGTGTGTCAGATCCAGTGTCTCTGATTCAGTGACTGATGTGTGTGTCTCTATTGTTCCTGCAGTGAAGCGTGTGTCCAGTTCTCTCAGATCTGTATCCTTTGCTGCGGTTCTGAGGAGGAATGTTGACTGTGATGCTCTCGTGCCTGTGTGTGGAATAACACACTGCCTGCTTTATACAACAGCAGGGGTTTTAATCTTTCAGATGCCATGGACAATCATTCTCATTCTTATACATTCACTATAGTGTTCACTATACTGTTAGATGTATTCATTTATTTATATCAGTTGTTTATTTTAATTTATATAATCATATTTTTCATTTAGTTGTTACATTTTTAGCACTCTTTTGTTGATCTAAACCCCGATAGCTTTAGGCACACAGTCTGAAGGAAGTGTTTATGGTGTTCAGACGGGTTAGTGTAGATCAGATTGTGTCTTTAACTCTGAGCTGGTCCAGATCCGGTGGTGTGCATCCCGTCCAGCTTCTTCATCGGCGAGAACGGCGTTCCTCTGGAGGTGATCGCAGGCAGCGTGACGGAGGACGAGCTCCAGCGCAGGATCAGCAGAGTCACGCAGGTCAGCAGATGCTCCTCCACGCCAACACTCGCTCGTTCAGCTGAACATTAGTTTGATCGTCGTATTAGTGGCACAGAACTGATTGAGTGAATGTTTAGAGTCTCTGGAACCCAAGTGAGTTGAGTTAGTGTGCTGCAGGAGCACAGCTGTAGTTAGTTAACTGATCGTTGGCGTGTGTGTGGCGTCAGTGTGTGCTTCGCTCGCTGTGTTGTGCTTCTGTTGTCAGAGCCGCGTCTGACCGTTCTGGCGCGCACACACACACACGATGCATTAAATGAACAATACCTGCAATAATACAACAGTATTTTTTGTAATAATGTAGCAGTAGCCTTATTTTTTAAAATAAAACGTCGACATGTTGTATTAAGTCACTGTATATTAAATATATAAAATTATTGATGTTTTGGCTCCTTGCCACTGTTGCCTTTGGCTTGCTTAGTAGGGGACGCTTCATTTCTGACTTGATTACACAGAAACGATGCTGCTCTTGCAGTATCAGCACGTTTTAACACTGTAAAGCTGCTGCGACACTGTCTGTAGTGTATAAAGCGCTGTAGAAATAAAGCTGACTTGACTTTATTTAACATTCGAGGTAAATTAAATTAATTACCAAACAATAATAGCGCAATCATTTGTTTGTTTAGATACACAAGTATGAATATAGTAAATCTTGCCATATAATTCTGTTATAAAATAAAGGCTTTGATACGATTATTTATATTTCATATGAGATAGATGTGTATTACTGAACGCAACACTTCATGTTTTCTGTCTAAAATTTGGTTGTGGTGTCTAACTCAATACTTCACGTTCTCATTTCTTAAATACATGATTTACACAAAATATTTGCATTTTTGATTGCCGTTTTTCTGGTAACATTTTTAAAGTTCGATTTTTCTTATGCTAATATTCTGTTGCTTAAATGCTTCAGTTAACATGTTAATGCTGGTTTCTCTCTCTCTCTCACACACACACACACACACACACACACTCTCTCTCTCCCACACACACACACTCTCTCTCTCTCTCACACACACACACACACACACACTCTCTCTCTCTCTCCCACACACACACACTCTCTCTCTCTCTCACACACACACACACACACACACTCTCTCTCTCTCTCCCACACACACACACTCTCTCTCTCTCTCACACACACACACACACACACACCTGTCCAGATGCACACGCAGCAGATTGAAGGCGCAGAGATGAACGCAGAGGAAGCTGATCACGGCTCTGCCTCGTCTAAAGGTGACGACACACCTGCTCTGATTGGCTGCAGGATGTTTGGTCACGTCTGTGCTTGCATGTAGTTTCAGTCGTGATGTGCTCTGACGCTCTGCTTCAGGAGTCGTTAACATGCAAATGAGAGAGATTTCCATGTTCTGAGTTTCATTGAGCACTGGACGGATTCCTCTGTTCCCCAGAATCCCTGTCTGTGCCGCTGGAGGAAGACCGAGCGTCGGGTCACGTGACTCCAGCTGAAGATGAAGGCCTGCCGTCAGAAGACCAGGCCCAGGATGACAAGGTGGAGAGGTGAGCGGAGCATTTAACTACACGGCTTCTGTAGAGATGGACTGACACTAATAGATTATAAAAACCCCACATCTAAAGCACAGATTGAACAGAGCAGAGCATCCAAATCAATGTGCAGATCATTTCACAGATATGCAGTCGAGTGCATAAGTTTGCACCCCCATAGAATCTGCAAAATATTGTCAGTCTGTTTGTGATTTTTCTCGCCCTGCTGAATCTGTTAGTCCGAGTAGTCCACAAGACACCGTAATGATGCTGTTTTCTGGATGATCCACGGCTGTTTGTGTGTTTGTCCTGAGCAGTGAAGCTGTTCTTCAGCTGCTGTATGATGATGAGATCACAGACACACACACAAAGCTCTGAGTGTCATCTTTCACAGATCTGATGCTAACATACCTATCAGATTTAGTGATGAGTTCTTCCTTAAAGGGGATGTTCATTGCGATTTCACTTTTTTAACGTTAGTTAGTGTGTAATGTTGCTGCTTGAGCATAAACAATATCTGCAAAGTTACGAAGCTGAAAGTTCAATGCAAGCGGAGATCTCTCTCTCTCTCTCTCGCTCTCTCGCTCATTCAGCTCAGCTCCAGCAATCAACTGTTCCAGTTATACACTTATTTTCACATAGCTATGAGAAGCGTTAAACATATCCTCTGCTTCTCAATCGAGCTCAAACTGATAAGTGATTAACGACGCCGTTGTTTACAATACAACCGTAGCACATGCCGCTGAGGTGAGGGGCGGGACGTTTAGACGCGCACTAGAGACGGTTTAGCCAATCACAACACACTGGGCTAGCTAACCAATCAGAGCCCATCGTGTATTTCTGAGGGCGGGGCTTCATAAAAGCAGGAAATGATCAGGGCGTTCAGAGGAGAAGGGACAGGGCGGTGTGGAATAAAGGTCAATTATGTGAAAAATAATGCGTTTTTTTTTTTTAAACTAAGCGTTAACACATGTTAGACTGCACCCCATAAACACAATCAAGCCTAGAAAGCAACCACTGAACCACCGCTTTAAACACATTCTTTGATTCTTTGAAATATAAAGCATCTTCACCTCAGTGTCTTTGTGTTGCTTTGCAGTGCAAAAATCCTCATTCTTAAATCAAGAAATCAAGACTTGAGAAACAAAAGGACATCAGATATTAAGTCTTGTTTTCTGAGAAACGTCTCAAAATTGTGGTCAGAAAAATCATCTTATTTTAAAGCGAAACGATTCTATTTTTCTGACCCCATTGGCAGATACGTGTTCTTTTTTTTTTTTTATCAAACTCACACAAACTTGCTAAATTTTTCAGAAAGCAAGACCTGATGTCTTCAGTCATTGTGCTTCTCCAGTAAACATGTAAACATTTAAGAATCTTTAGATATTTGTGTAACTTCAGCAAAACGTGCATTTTCATTTTTCATGATGTATCTGTTTATCTGTTTTTTCTTTCGTAGATTAACAAAGAAGCTGGAGGAAAGACGTGAGCAGAAGAAGAAAGCAGAAGAAGAGGTAGTTCTGATCATGTCCACTAGAGGATGACGGATAAGCGTGCATGAACACGGATGACGTCTGTCTCACAGGTGCAGCTGAAGAAGGAGGTGGAGAGGCGTAAGACGGGGAAGGAGATGCTGGACTTCAAGAAGAAGCAGGAGGAGGACAAGACCAAGCGTCTGCTGGAGGAGAGGAGTCGAGAGAAGGCCGAGGAGCGAGCGGCTAGAGAGCGGGTCAAGCAGCAGATCGCTCTGGTACTCATCACACTGTCAGACGCTGAGAGCGCGTTATACAGTGAACATCACAGCCATTCACTGTACAACACGACCTCGAGTGCTTTCATGCTAAACATGTTCATGATAACAGTAGAAGATCTCATGCTTTCGTCCACAGGACCGCGCTGACAGAGCGGCCCGTTACGCTCAGAGCCAGCAGGACTCGGAGGCGACCCGACTAGCAGCGCTGCAGGCCAAGAGAGACGCTGAGAGAGACGGCGCGCAGCGAGAGAGGAGGTGACACTGAACAGCTGTTCAGAACCTTTAGGATTGTGCGCATTGTGCCATTTGTGACCATTTATCTCCGTTCCTCCCTGGAGCTTAATACCCTTACCTACTTCAGGGTCGAGTAGCTCTTATCAGGTACTGTTCCCAAAACACAGACAATGAGTGCAGCTTCTCAGAGAGAGAGAAAAAAGGAGAGAAGCTCAGACTTTATTCAGCTTTATTCTTTAACATACAGACATAGAAAACAACCTAAATGTTCCGAGAGGCCCTGCTGACCTCTGTGACCTGAGAGGAGTGAACAGAAGGTTAACACATGGAGAGGCCAGGAAAAACACATTCCAATAACATCATACACTTTAGTGTCTGCTACTAGTATATGGGAACTCATAACTTTATTCAATCAACTAAAACATAAGAGGTTAAATACTGATTAATAACTGGATTGATAATCACTCCGAAGGATATATGTATGAAATATATAAATATAAAAAAACCAACGTGGATCCAGAGTTCCACTCCTTCAAGGAGAGTTACGAAAGTTGCTTTTGAGTATGATTTGTATTGATATTTTGTGAAATCGTAGTGTCAATGTTTTTATGCTTCTATTTTATCTTGTGAAGCACTTTGAACTGCATTCATGTATGAAAATATTATTATTGAACGAATAGGAATTATTGTTATTATTGGTATTATTATTATTAAAATCAGACCACAAATCTTAGATGCACTGAAATGAAAAGTCTGGACAGAACCTGTCAAAAGAGCTACAGTGTTTTTTCTCTGCATCCCTAATAAGTAATTCTAGACACTGGTTTAAAATAAATCTGCATAAATTAAGTTCAGTACAACAAATGCTACAGTTATGCACAAATACTTACGGTAAGGATTTTTTATAGAGTATGAGGTTTCTGCACCGATGAGTGCATTAGCGGGCTGTGAGCTGACCGCTAGTCTTGACAATGTTTTTCTCTGCTGGTCGCAGTGCGGTTGCTAGGATACAGTTCCGTCTGCCTGACGGCTCGTCCTTCACGAACCAGTTCCCATCAGAGACGCGCCTGCTGGAGGCCCGACAGTTTGCTGCTCAGGTTGGTGTCCATGATTATATGATTTTTGTCTAGCAGTTGTCAGAAGCTCTACACAGTTGTGTGACTCTCATGAATCTTTGTCTTCATGCAGGAGGTTGGGAACCGATACGGTCAGTTTTCACTGGCCACTATGTTCCCCAGGAGAGAGTTTACAGCTGAAGATCTGGAGAAATCACTGCTGGAGCTGGAACTGACCCCCGGCGCCTCCATCGTACTGCTTCCTGTGAGAGACACACACACACACACACACACACACACACACTCAGCTCCAGCAATCAACTGTTCCAGTTATACACTTATTTTCACATAGCTATGAGAAGCGTTAAACATATCCTCTGCTTCTCAATCGAGCTCAAACTGATAAGTGATTAACGACGCCGTTGTTTACAATACAACCGTAGCACATGCCGCTGAGGTGAGGGGCGGGACGTTTAGACGCGCACTAGAGACGGTTTAGCCAATCACAACACACTGGGCTAGCTAACCAATCAGAGCCCATCGTGTATTTCTGAGGGCGGGGCTTCATAAAAGCAGGAAATGATCAGGGCGTTCAGAGGAGAAGGGACAGGGCGGTGTGGAATAAAGGTCAATTATGTGAAAAATAATGCGTTTTTTTTTTTTAAACTAAGCGTTAACACATGTTAGACTGCACCCCATAAACACAATCAAGCCTAGAAAGCAACCACTGAACCACCGCTTTAAACACATTCTTTGAAGGCGACTGATATAAAGCATCTTCACCTCAGTGTCTTTGTGTTGCTTTGCAGTGCAAAAATCCTCATTCTTAAATCAAGATACATTTGCTTGAGAAACAAAAGGACATCAGATATTAAGTCTTGTTTTCTGAGAAACGTCTCAAAATTGTGGTCAGAAAAATCATCTTATTTTAAAGCGAAACGATTCTATTTTTCTGACCCCATTGGCAGATACGTGTTCTTTTTTTTTTTTTTATCAAACTCACACAAACTTGCTAAATTTTTCAGAAAGCAAGACCTGATGTCTTCAGTCATTGTGCTTCTCCAGTAAACATATCCTGATTTAAGAATCTTTAGATATTTGTGTAACTTCAGCAAAACGTGCATTTTCATTTTTCATGATGTATCTGTTTTTATTCATTTTCTTTCGTAGATTAACAAAGAAGCTGGAGGAAAGACGTGAGCAGAAGAAGAAAGCAGAAGAAGAGGTAGTTCTGATCATGTCCACTAGAGGATGACGGATAAGCGTGCATGAACACGGATGACGTCTGTCTCACAGGTGCAGCTGAAGAAGGAGGTGGAGAGGCGTAAGACGGGGAAGGAGATGCTGGACTTCAAGAAGAAGCAGGAGGAGGACAAGACCAAGCGTCTGCTGGAGGAGAGGAGTCGAGAGAAGGCCGAGGAGCGAGCGGCTAGAGAGCGGGTCAAGCAGCAGATCGCTCTGGTACTCATCACACTGTCAGACGCTGAGAGCGCGTTATACAGTGAACATCACAGCCATTCACTGTACAACACGACCTCGAGTGCTTTCATGCTAAACATGTTCATGATAACAGTAGAAGATCTCATGCTTTCGTCCACAGGACCGCGCTGACAGAGCGGCCCGTTACGCTCAGAGCCAGCAGGACTCGGAGGCGACCCGACTAGCAGCGCTGCAGGCCAAGAGAGACGCTGAGAGAGACGGCGCGCAGCGAGAGAGGAGGTGACACTGAACAGCTGTTCAGAACCTTTAGGATTGTGCGCATTGTGCCATTTGTGACCATTTATCTCCGTTCCTCCCTGGAGCTTAATACCCTTACCTACTTCAGGGTCGAGTAGCTCTTATCAGGTACTGTTCCCAAAACACAGACAATGAGTGCAGCTTCTCAGAGAGAGAGAAAAAAGGAGAGAAGCTCAGACTTTATTCAGCTTTATTCTTTAACATACAGACATAGAAAACAACCTAAATGTTCCGAGAGGCCCTGCTGACCTCTGTGACCTGAGAGGAGTGAACAGAAGGTTAACACATGGAGAGGCCAGGAAAAACACATTCCAATAACATCATACACTTTAGTGTCTGCTACTAGTATATGGGAACTCATAACTTTATTCAATCAACTAAAACATAAGAGGTTAAATACTGATTAATAACTGGATTGATAATCACTCCAAAGGATATATGTATGAAATATATAAATATAAAAAAACCAACGTGGATCCAGAGTTCCACTCCTTCAAGGAGAGTTACGAAAGTTGCTTTTGAGTATGATTTGTATTGATATTTTGTGAAATCGTAGTGTCAATGTTTTTATGCTTCTATTTTATCTTGTGAAGCACTTTGAACTGCATTCATGTATGAAAATATTATTATTGAACGAATAGGAATTATTGTTATTATTGGTATTATTATTATTAAAATCAGACCACAAATCTTAGATGCACTGAAATGAAAAGTCTGGACAGAACCTGTCAAAAGAGCTACAGTGTTTTTTCTCTGCATCCCTAATAAGTAATTCTAGACACTGGTTTAAAATAAATCTGCATAAATTAAGTTCAGTACAACAAATGCTACAGTTATGCACAAATACTTACGGTAAGGATTTTTTATAGAGTATGAGGTTTCTGCACCGATGAGTGCATTAGCGGGCTGTGAGCTGACCGCTAGTCTTGACAATGTTTTTCTCTGCTGGTCGCAGTGCGGTTGCTAGGATACAGTTCCGTCTGCCTGACGGCTCGTCCTTCACGAACCAGTTCCCATCAGAGACGCGCCTGCTGGAGGCCCGACAGTTTGCTGCTCAGGTTGGTGTCCATGATTATATGATTTTTGTCTAGCAGTTGTCAGAAGCTCTACACAGTTGTGTGACTCTCATGAATCTTTGTCTTCATGCAGGAGGTTGGGAACCGATACGGTCAGTTTTCACTGGCCACTATGTTCCCCAGGAGAGAGTTTACAGCTGAAGATCTGGAGAAATCACTGCTGGAGCTGGAACTGACCCCCGGCGCCTCCATCGTACTGCTTCCTGTGAGAGACACACACACACACACACACACACACACACACTTGCAAACTCACTCATACACACACACACACACACACACGCACCAGTTCACACGGTCAACATGCAAACAATAACTAGTAATGTTTTCTTTAACATTTGGGTTTTAAGCAAGACACTAGTGATATATGGAGTGAAAAATAGAGAAATCCAAAATCTCCTCTGTAAAAACCTTTGTCAACAAAATCAAACAAGAATCATGAACCTGACTTTAATGTATGACAAATTAGTGCATATTCAAGTAGTTAATGCCTCATTTGCATATTTGAATATAACATTTCAGAAGCATGTAATGCAAAAGAGTGTCTAGGGTTGTTTAGTTTTAGTCACATGAATGCTCTCCTGTGATTGGTCCCTGCAGCAGTCCAGCCGCCCGTCCAACACTGTGGTGCACTCATCTGCGGGCGGCGGCGTCTGGGCCATGCTGGGGTCGCTGCTGTACCCGCTGCTGGCCGTCTGGAGGTTCATCAGTGGCTTCCTGTTCAGCAGCCCTCCTCCACCTGCTGCCGCCCAGAACCAACACACGACAAACGCGTACGGCTCTAGCGCTGCCGCAGAACCAAAGAGGTGTGTCTGTGACCTCACTGTGATTTCAGTTACCTCACCGTGACCTCACCGTTACTCCACCGTAGTGCTGGGCGGTATACCGGTTCATACCGAATACCGGTGTTTATTTTTGTTATGATATGAATTTTTAAAATACCGCAATACCGGTGTATGCCACTTAAACACCATTCGGAACGCAACACTGTTTGAAAGGGGTCTCTTTTCACTGTCACTGTGATTTCAGTTACCTCACCGTGACCTCACCGTTACTCCACCGTAGTGCTGGGCGGTATACCGGTTCATACCGAATACCGGTGTTTATTTTTGTTATGATATGAATTTTTAAAATACCGCAATACCGGTGTATGCCACTTAAACACCATTCGGAACGCAACACTGTTTGAAAGGGGTCTCTTTTCACTGCTGCACTGTGGTGAGGGAACAGCTGTATGTGTTACTAAGCGTGAAAGTTCAGAAACTGAAGCTGTAGAACTAATAGAACACAAGGTCTGGCTTTCCCGGAGAAGTGTCGCCTCTCTCGGCGTCTGTTCTGTGCTGTGAGCGGCAGAGAAGCACCGCAGCCGACTCCTCAATAAATGAGTACAACACAGCGTTTCCTAGCACCTGTCGCTTACTGATTGTTTTTTTTTAGTTTGTTACTCAGACGCAGACAGTGCGCTGCATGAGACAAAAAAGTAAT